GACCAGAGTTTGCCAAGTTATTATCATCATGAGTTCTTCAAAAAGGAGAAACAGAGTAGCATGTACTATTTCTTTGCTTTTGACAAAGAGTTGGTAACTTTCAGCTGAAACTGATGATCATAGGAACTGCCAGAGCAGAACAGAACAATGTTCATCTTTTTACATCAATTTTGTTGAAGTACTTTTTTTCAATATATGTTAGGAGTACTAATTCTGTAAATTTACACTACATTAAAGTAAGCAGTGGTCTGTGTAACCTGATGTTTTGTCCCAAATGCTAGCTAAAATGCAATACTTTTTCTAATCTATAGCTTGTGCATTTACCTGAGACCACATGTTCATTTTTTTTCTGTGCGCATGAGTGGTGGGATATAATTTGAAGATTTGAATTAATAAACGTGTGTATACTTCTCTTTTAATCTCAAGTGCTCATTTGTTAGTGACACTGAAAGAGTTTAGGCCAAAAATTTGATATGCTGCAATGCTATAATTATGCATTGCATCGCTTGTGTATCTAGTTAAACAGTATGGCTGCTCCTCTAATTTCAGAGATATGTAATAAATTAAAAATAAAAGCTTTTGTAGAAAACAGTTTTTTTTGTAGAAACAAGGTAGGAATTTACAACAGGATCAGATCAGTAGCAACGTAGCATCTTATCTCTGAGTGGCCAAAATTTGCTTCCAAAGAAAGAAACTTGTAGTAAGTAGCTGTTGAATAATTTTATCTCCAGAGAGAGCTTCCTCTTCATCTTACATAGAGGTAGCCCTGTGTCCTGCAACTTTTCTTCTGCTCTCTGCATAGGAAAAGTTAAACAAAGATTATTTGCAAGGGTGACGCTGAATGAACGGATGATATGAGCACCCACAGATATTTTGAGATAAGGTTGAGTTTTAAATTTAAGTGTAAAATATTCAGGACAATTTTAGCACCATTAAACATATGGAAAACAAATCTGAAATTGATAAATCCAATTTCCATCCAATATTGTAATGGAAAAATACATTTTATGTCCAACTTTGGTCACAGTATATATGCAAAACAGACTTTTTTTTTATTCAGTGTGTGTATTCAGAATAATGTCTGTTCACATGAATAACAAAATAAGATTTTATTCCCTTTGTTTCTGCTAGTACTAAGTTGCTTGTACAGGAATGGTCAAATCCATTCTAAGAGTGTATTACTAATAGAATTGTTTACTGTGTTTCAAAAGCAGAATATTTCACTATTGGTCATGTTAAAGCAAGAAGAAACCCAGCATTTTGCATCAAGTAGTGCTGTTAGCTAGTAAGAAACACCCTGTAAGTGAAGCAAATTAGTTTTGGAAGTTATTGAAACAAAAGGAATATGGTTCCTATAGCGCTAGTGATCCAGAGTTAATTTTCCTGGTTAAAACAACACAATACGCATTTAGGAATCGTAGTAGACAGTAGAAGGGTAAATTTTATTTTTATATATATAATTATGTAAATGTTAAATAGCATAGGGCCAAGAACCAATTAATGTGAGACCCTACTGGAAAAGGCACCTGTGAGATGGGAGATTCTCAGATTATATTTTGAAACCTATTAGCCAGTTTTAATTCATTTAATGTGTACCATGTTAACTGTATATTGTACAAGTTTTTGACTCAAAAGGTACTAGGTCAAATGGGTTATAGAAGTCTCTGAATATTACATCAACATGGTCACACTAACAACCAAATTTGTAAGTCTAGAAGTCTCTGAATATTACATCAACATGGTCACACTATCAACCAAATTTGTAAGTCTTGTATTATAAAAATATTAGGTTAGTTTGGCAAAATCTGGTTTCCATAAAAGCATGTTGATTTGCATAGATTACATCACCACCTTTTAATACTTTTGAGTCCTGTAACAGTCACACAATTATCTTGCTTATTACAGGAATTACCTAGATCATCCTGTTTACCCATTTTTAAAAATGGTGTATTAGCTTTCAGTCCCTGGAACTTCCCCACTGCTCCAAGACTTATTGAAAATCAACAGTAATGGTCCAGCTATCTCTTCAACCAGATATTTTAAAAATTATTCAGGCAAGTTATGTGGATCTGTTGATTTAAAAATGTCTAACTTTGGTAGCTTCTGTTTAACATGCTCCTGAGACGGCAGTGGAACGGAGAGTGTTATATCGCCATTGATGAGCTATGGCAACAGATTTTTCTCTAGTACAGAATAAAAATATTTCCTGAACACTTCTGCCTTTTCTGTCTTATCCTGCAGGGGTAGCAGAAAGGTAGTGGTCTGTAAAAATAGTGTATTTCTGAATTGTTTAGACTTGGCTGGGAAATGAAATAGGAATTTTAGGATAAAGCATAGTTTGTTTTAAAAACAGTCTCAGTGTTTGCCTACCGAACAACACTTTGACATATTGCATATTCAGATAAAGCATAGTTTGTTTTAAAAACAGTCTCAGCGTTTGCCTACCGAACAACACTTTGACGTACCGTATTGCATATTCAAGAGAGTTATTTTTTTCACTGTAAATTTCCTAGCTGCACATTCTTTTCTCTTACATTGATGTAAATCCAGACTCCGTCTTCTCTGAAAGCAGAATTTGCGCCATGAAATTTATATACCCCAATCCATCTCACATACTAATAGGTTACATGCACTTTGTTCTATTCCTGTATAGGTAGCTTTCTGTCTTCCTTCTCCTGGACTCATCAGTGAAATCATTAGCAGTTTTCAATCTGGATACATGCTTGGCTAGTGGGAAATAGTGCAGGGTACCTGCAGACAATTAAATTAAGATTGCTATAGTTATATGTAATTGTTCTGTGGCACCTGTCTCTCACTGAGTATTCTTTACCAATAACATTAGGATCCTGAAGAGTCCCTGAAATAATTTTGCTACCAGAGAGATGGGCTAATAGCCAAAAGAAACAAGTCCTTTGTACTAATAATGGCTCTGCATTTAATGGGGATTTCAGAGATACAGGGATTCTGCCGGACACATAACATGGTTGTTTAAGGGGAAAAAAACCCACTTCATTCAGCAATTGGAGGAACTCAACCTGGAAATTTTCTGTTCCAACTTGTTAATGGAAGGGAGGGAATCGGTGTTTTACAAAGGTATAGCGTAGCCCTTTATATTTGCACTCTGACTTTTTTTTTTTTCTAGATTTGTCTCTGACAATGAGCTCATTTGGCAGGAATAGTTCATTTAGCATAACATATAGAAATCAGCAAATAAAAGTTTAGTGTGGTGTAAGTTTGTAACCAAATTGATACAGTTCTTCCAGAAGGGAAGGCAATGTGATTCAGGAGAAAAACAGTTACATTTTTATCAGTTGTGCATTGTTTTGTTGCAAGTGTACTGTTTACGGAAACATTCTTTACTTTCTATGCTTCCTCCCTCCCTGAAGAAAGGCAATCCAAAAGTTATATTTAAGCTAGTCTCTAAGCTAGTCTCTAAGCTAATACCATGCTTTTTGTTTTTCTTCTTCTCCATCTCCATACCTCCACTTCATTCATATAAAAATTCTTTATTCAACTGAGTAAGTACTCTTGTACTTTAGAGATAAGTCTGTATCTTGCTTGTGCCTGCCTTCTGTTGTTAATATTATAGTTATCAAGGTAAGTGACAACCTGTTTTTAAAGTGATTAAAAAAATCCCAGTCTAATTGCTATATGGTACTGTGCTTGGCAAAGAAGCAGTTGGAAGTTTGTGACCTGGAAAATAATTGCCTCCTATTGGATATTTTTACTGCAGATGCACAGCCTGCATTTTTAAGTCCTTAGCTGCTTTTTTTTCTTTTGCACATCAGTTAGGAAAAGCAAAACACATTGTTTTGTACTTATTGTTAAATTTTATTCAGCAATAAGACCAACGTTTTTCATACTTGGGTGTGTATGAAAAATTTGTTACCTGTTTATTTATTTGTAAAAAGCTGAATACACATAGCATTAGATCAAGGCACATACAAGACTGGCCAAAGGGCGTACAATGCACTTTGGTTTTCATTTGCAAAAATAAATGGTTTTGGCAACAAAAAAGAGTGGCTTGGGGTTGAAACATTAAATACTGCACAATTCAATAGGAATTGTTATCTTACAAATTTATTATGACGTTTCTGGAAATTTGTGACCATAATGGGCAGTATTCCCGACTGTAGTGGAAGAATATTTAGATTTGGAAGAATTATGATTGGAAGGTTTTGAATTTTATTGGTAAATGTCATTAAATGTTGATTTCACTGTGCACACAAACTGATGAAAAATATTGGCATTGATAATAATCAAAATTTACGAACAGGCAAAGTAAGACAAATGCTGTTTGAGAACTTTTTAGTATTTGATGTAAGGATATGTATTTTGTAAATAATTAAATAATTTTCTGACCCCCCCCCCCCCCCCCCTACAATGTCTTGGAACTATGAATATTTAAATGAATAAAATATTAAAATCAATAAAAACCATAAAAATGTTTAGAACCCCTAATTTTGCACAACTCTGAAAATTTAAATGAGATAAATTTGAAAAAAATGCTTTAGTGAACATTGATATTATTGAAATTATAAAATCAAATTCTGCCAAGTATTTAATACACTTGATGTCTGTGTATGTATATATGCTTAGGAAGTAAGAACTTTATTTCCATATTAGCAATTGTACAATTAACCATTTACCATCATGCCTCAAAACTGGCTGAGGCCTTATTTTAGTCTTGTTCTTATTGATATGTTTTCTAATGTGTGAAATTATCAACATATTTTCTGTTCAAGTACAGATACAAATACCTATTTTATCACCTGTCCATGTTCTCCATGATAAATATCTTACTGATTTTTGAGAACTAGTAATTAAATTTACCCTTTAATTTGTGGTGGTAGTGTATTCTTGAAGCCTTAGGAGGAGTTTCAGTAACTTGTAGGACTCAATTTTTCATTTTCATGTCAATAACTTTAGTTTCATGCAGATGATAAACTGGCTTATAACAATTCATTTAACTGTCGTTAAAATGGATATATCCAAACAGCTGATGTTGCCCATTACCACGAGCGTTTTTGTTTATTGAGTATTGTCGTGGTTTACAATAGAGTTAAAAACCCAACATTATAGTTCTAAGAATTTTTGCAACCACTTTTTCATCTCCTCAGTCTTCCAGGTTTAATATTTTATTAATATCAAAGTGAAAAATGGCCTGTGCTTATACTTACAAGGATCTTAAATGAATGCAAAGTCCTGATTGTTCAACACAGCAAGAAAATTCACTTTCACAGTCAACAAGTCATCTTACTCAGTAGAACACAAAGGTTAAATGGTCTGTAACTTCATTATTAGCAAGGAAAATACAGTACAAATTACTAAAAAATACTAAAATAGAGAATTGTGGTCAGGTATCCCCACTACATTAATTGCAGGAGTAACCTGAAATTGGAAACTTTTAATAAAAAGTTCTTAAATATAAATTATATGGCAAATGTACAGTACATTGCTTTTTTCAATCTTTTAATCCAGTGTTTTGCAGTAGAACAGCAACGTTTACAGTCAGTCTCTCCTTGTTGGAAAAACAAACCGAAGTCCATTATTTCCTTCAGTATCATGAATGTGAATGATCTGAATCTGGTATGCCACTGTCTCTGTAGCTCCTGTTACTGCTGCTTTCACTGTGGTTGTTCTTATACAGATTCATTCCATTAGGTGGGAATATGGTGTGTATGACAAACTCCTCCTTGGACACTTGGTCGTTATTTATTGGTATCATCTGAAAAGAAGTCTCCCTGATTTCTAAGATGGAGTTGTCTTTCTTAGTTCCAGCTTCAGCATAGTCATCCTTTCTCCTCCGTCCTTTGCTGTACGCACAGTTCCTTGAAAACAAGGATCCATTTCTGTGGACATACCAGCACACTAGTGCAAGTAATGCGATAGCCACTAGGGCCACTGCACCACCGATGATGGCAGCCAAAGGTAAATTCGAATTTTTGTAAGGCTCTTTCTCTTGCTCTCGGTTTAGGGTTGTTGTAGGTTTGTACATCTTCAAAGGTGCTGTTTCAGTCTCTATACAAACAGGGGTTTCATCAGACAGATAGATGTTGCTGGTTTCCATGGGAACCATACATACACGGTATGGTGACTCTGGTTCAAGGGCTGTAAGTAGGTAGTCACTCCTATCTCCTGTAACTATGGTTTCAGTTATAGATCCAAAGGCAGGACTGTGGCCCATTTTAAGCCAGCTCAGTCTTAAAGCAGTCATGGGTAGTGCAACTTTCCAAGAAATATGAATGCTCTCAGTACTTACAGATTTCACAATAATTGTAATGATTTTCCGTACTGGACTTGCTGTGGTTCTGTAGTGTCTGTTGAGACTGGGAGTCTTTACCTCTGATTGTTTGGTCACAGAAACGGGCCAGTGCCCTTGGGCAGGGTATAATGTGTTTGGTATTGCAGTAGTAATTTGGATGGTGCTTACAATACTATCATCCTTACAATCAAATAGCTCTGTGTTGAGATCCTTGATAGCCATTCCACGCACTTTCTCTGGTGCTTGACACATCAGTCCACGTACATTGACTTTTAAAGGCATTGACTGAAGCCAATCACGGGCCCATTTCATTTTGCATCCACAGTACCATGGGTTGTTTCGAAGAAACAATTGAGTTATGTTGTCCAGATCATCAAATATACCCTGAGGTAAACTGCTTAGATTGTTATTGGACATATCCAGTCGATACAACTGCCTTAGGTCAGCAAAAGCATTAGGTGGTACACGATTTATATGATTTTCTTGGAGATAAAGCTTTCTTAGGTTTGTGCCTGGCAAATTTATGGGAGCAGCTATAAGGGAATTGCGGATCAATGACAGTTCTGTTAGATTGACTAGATTCATGAAGACTTTGTCTCCTAATCCATGATTGTTTAAAAGATTTCCATCTAAAACCAGACGTTTTAGATTAGTAAGATCTTGAAGGGACACCTCTGAAATGGTGGAAATACGATTATCATCCAAGCGTAGCTCTTCTATTGTTTTAGGCAAACCCCAGGGAATGGTGCTAAGGTGATTTCGAGAGAGAAAAAGTAGTCTGAGATAGATGTTGTCCCGGAAAGCTCCATCTTCGATACTAACAGCAGAAACTGAATTATCATCCAAATGCAATTCTTCCAGATAGGGAATTTGTGACAGAGAATCGTAAGTAATGGTCCTTATATTATTTTCCTGCAAATGCAGTTCTTTAACATATTTGGGGAGATTGGTAGGGAATTCATCTAAACTGTTGTGATACAAGTATATTCTCTCTACCCTAAGTAAGTTTTTCAGGTCAGAAGGAATCCCCGCATTATTTATTTGATTGTTCTGAAGGTAGAGAGTGGTAGCATCCTGTGGAATTCCTGTAGGAATGGATGTCAATTCACGATCATTACAGTAAATGAAACCTGCATCACAGCGACACACCGATGGGCATGATTTGGCACTGACACAATGAGGTGCCATTTTAAGCAACAGCCCTATCTTAGTCCAAATTAGGAAGATGTTCCAAGTTACACTGATCATGGTCAGGAACAATGAGATTTGTACAGGCTAGTTTTCTGGTCTTCAACAACCTGGAAAAAAGAACAATATTATACAGATTACTAGTCAAGGAAATACCACATTGAAATTACAGAAGACATCTGGAATGTTTTATCATTGTGAACTTTTGAGTTTTAGCTCAGCTGCAGGAACAGATCACTTTACTTGGATTTCCTATGCTAATTGTGCTTAGTTAGTTTATAGATTTAATAATATACAGTAATTTGAACATAGTTGGGTTATGTTTGATTTCTACATTATTTAAACAGGAAGCATCCTTTTCACAAATACTACACATTCTACATGTAAGGAAAAGGGAGAGTTTGTCCTGAGATGCCTTCTTTCCCATCTAAGATATTTATTCATCTTGGAAGCTCACTTCAAAGCAAAATCTTGACAAATTTTACATTCAGTTCATGAAAACTATCTTAGATTAGTTGAACAGTATGTAGCTCCCTTAGTCCTTCCATTTTACATGCCAGCTCCAGAAGTTCTGAAGAGCCTGAAAAGACCTTTTCTATAGTCAGCATGTGAACAAAAGAACAGTGACCAAATACAGCCTCCTCAGTCCTTGATCTGCCCCATGTTGTTGTAATCAAATACAAAGAAAGTAATTATTTTTATTGATGCTGCTGCCCATGAGATGTTCAAAAATAACCAAAATGTACTAAAGTTTGAGACTCAAGGAGCTGGAATGTAGCTTGGGAGAGGTTTAACATAACTGCTAGAACTACCCTTTTCCAGATGATTGGATGGAATATTTCATTTCATGCTTAATTTAGAGTTTAAATATTTGTCATTCTCAAAAGTCTTTTTACTAAGCAGTAGGCTAAAGAGCGACTATTTGACAGGTTTACCGACATTCTCACATCTTATTGATTCAAACTGTGCAATGGAAACTATACATGAACTGTTAAGATTAAAAGTGGACTCTGGTAATATCTGTACATTCTACTCAAGTAATTAACATTTTTATAACTAAGACAAAATTCAATTATCACTGTAGTTAGGGTACTGAAAAATAAGATCACCTATACATTACACAGATTTCTTTTGCAGATTTATTTACTAATTGTATTTTATGCTCCCAAACTAAAAAAGAAATAAAATTATTTATCTTACCTTATTTAAAAGTACGAATAAACTTTTTGCTTGTAGAAATCCAACAAACACACATTTTTCACTAAGGAAAATGACTTTTGGAGTCTTACAGTTTATTCCATGTAGCTGGTCTTCGCTGATGTTGTTTACTCAGTTGATTGTTGTTGGTAGTAAATGCTTTCTGATTAGTTCCACTGTATTCAGAGAACATTCCAACGAAGATTTATCATGGTACATAAGCACACCAGATTGTGGAAAAGAAAAGCTTCAAATTTCTGTCACTATGCAGGAATGATTTCTATTTTTCCCCTCAAATAAAGTCTGTGCATGAAGAATCTTTCTTCTGTTGGTTTTTTGTAAAGCCGTTATCAGAAATTGCTTTCCTTGTATTTCTTACAAACTCTTCTGTGTAGCATAGTAGTCAACGATAGTAACTTCAACTCCACATGATAGAAATCATTCATTATTCTGAAAGCTGAATGATGATAGCCTCTTCGGGAGGTCAAAAATAAAAGGGGGAGGAGTTCTGTCCAAAATTATCCAAGTATAAACTTTGAACAGTCGCTACATTCTGATAAATCCATATCTGCTGTAAAAGAGCTGCTTTCAACTTTCACTTCTGAACACTTGTTCAAAATTTCCAATGCAGAAACTATTTCCTCATGCTCTATAACCAGATGAGTTATTTTACAATCGATTGTTTTCCTTTAATTTGATATTTTTCTGAAGAAACAGAAGCATGCTATTTCCTTTCAAAACAAAAAAATGCCTCTTGTAAAGTGTCCTCTTTAAACTGTTAATTTTCTGTGGAAGTAAGCAGATTTTAATGAATAACAGTAATACTGGACACTCACATACAAATAAATGCTGAACTATATGCTTTATAAAATTAGAGTTACATTTATTATTTACATAACCTATACATCTTATGGCCTTGGTATGCTGGGAATTCAGCAAAATGAGTGGAACTGCTAACAGTCAGACATTCTGCCGTCCCATTTCTCGGGATTTTACTTCAGCTATTTTATTTGCTAGTCTCTGCACAATAGTAATTGAAATCCACTTTAATCAACAGACTGTAGAAAAATTATGATGTATATTCTATTTGATTACAAATATCTCTGTTTTCATTCTTACTAAACTGAGGGAACAGGTTAATCTTCTTGGTTTTACAAAATGACAAAAATACTGTTGACTAGTTACTGTATGACAGGTGGAAAGGCTGGGGCTAAGTACCATGTCAACATTTTACCTCAATAACAGAAGCAGTATTTCCAAATTGTGTGACTACTGAGACTTTTCGCAATATTTCATCCTGCAAGGATGGAGATATGATCATGGTTGTGGTATATGTTTTATATGCAATATACATTAAAATATGGAGTACTGTTAAAACTGTAAGCTATTTAATTACTTTTGAAGCATCTTGCCATGAGGTAATTACTTAGATAATTATTTAGAATTGATGCTATGCTATAGCAACACAATTATGATTTCTGCTCCATTTTAATAAGCTGAGGAAATGTAGAGCTGCTTTTAGTCTATCATAAAATATTACCTTCAATCAAGAGATCTGGTTAAGTATTGTGGAATATTAACATTTAGAAAAAGACAAAAAAAGATACTTTCGTTCTTGGGTATTAAACATTTATTCATGTATTTTCTGAAATCTATAGACACCCATCTTGAAGCATTCTCTTAAGAGCAATACAAACATCCACTGAGGAGAAGTGCTAGGTTTGTAATTGTTTTAATTCTAGGTGTTTTCTTTCTCTGTGCATTTTAGCAATTGACTGTAATAAAAATATTGACAAACGTGGCTACTGATTGCAGTGGTACTGTAAACTGTACAGTATTGGTCCCAGGATAGTAAGAGAGACAAGATGGGTAAGGTAATACCTTACCTTGGACCAACTTCTTTGGAAGAGCTCTTTGTCACTTTCACCAACAACAGCTGGTCCAAGAAAAGATATTGGATCAGCTTGTCTCTCTAAATGTGGCTAGTGTTAGAATAACAACGTTAGAAATATTTTTTAACTTAAATAGTGTACTGTTAAGTATTAATGCCTGGGTACATTTTGGAAAAAAGGAAAGTATAATTGCTTATATATCTTATGACACTACTAACCTGTGTTGCACATTATTGTAAACTAGAAAATAAATATAAAAAAATCCCAAAGAATCTTTCCAATCAAATAGTACCTGCAAATGTTTTGTTTTATATAACTTCGTTGGCTGGTATTCATAAATTTGTCTAGGCTCCCAGTGAGTGTCACTTAGGGGCTACACAGTTAATTTATAACATTGTCCATGAAGATCTTTCACCTGATGGTTAATGTTGAAAACAGGACATAGATCCTTTGCTGAACTCTGGTGAGAGATTCTGGCTCTAAGAAGATGACTCTGCATCTGACACAACCGGGGTAAGGCAATGTAGTCTACATAAAAACGAAATCCCAGTGGAACTCATAAAGTTATGATAAGGGAAAAGTAGCTTTGAGAAAAGGGGGCGTATCCTGGTAGGGTGGGACTTGAAAAGGGGGAAAAAGTTATTTTAAAATGCTTTTGAAGTCTGTACTAATTAAAACTCTTTTCCCAATCCATTAATAAAAAATAGGACATAATTGCTTTTAAGTGGTAAAAATGTGTACCAATTCCTTTCTATCCATTTACTCCTGGGCAGGGGGACGTTTCCTCTTGGGGGTGGGGGGCGGGTTATAAATGGTGTGAAGAAAATGTATTTGTTTTTACTTTTTCAAATTCTAAACTATTTCCTCTTTGATCCATTTGACATGCAACAGCTTGTTTATTGCCTTTATTGTACTACTGGCAATGTAGGATTAAACTGAAAACCCTAAAGCTCATTAAGTTCTTGGAATTTTTTATCCCTTCTCTCAAAATTACAACAAAACAAAAGAGAGGGGTAAAATACTGGTGTCTTGGAGAAAAAGGCACTGTTTCAAAAATGTGGATTAAGTGCATACCCCCTCCTCCCTTTACTTAAACTGAGAATAGTTTTCTTCAGGATTTTATTCTGTTTTATATCTTGCACTTCCCTTTTACCTCTGAAGCTATAGTTGGAAACAATGTGTTTGCATATCAAAGGCTGCAGTGATCTGTCTACACAGAAGAGGGGAATCCTGCTGCCATACTCAGACTTCCCTCTTCTTTAGCTGTCTCTACATTTTCCCTGACATCAAGTCATTGTAGCGGAGCCTGCAAGATTAAAAGAAAAATGACCCCCACTGGTACAGACACTGTGGCCAGGTTTCCACAACATCCAATTGGGAGGTTTCATGGAGGCATGGTTTTGAAAGAGGCTATTAATTTTAGGGGTTTGGGAGAGGGAACCCTAAAGAAAAAGAGGGAAAGCTAAAATGTAATCTTTTTCTAAGCATTTTTTCTCAATGCATAAACCAGTCTCTGCTAACAAAAATAATATATCTGAACAATTATGAACAGAAGTTTTAACTGCACTTAATATTAAAATGAGTATTTTCATGGCCCTTGCTAAAATAGCAAACCTGTTCCTTTATTGAGACATTATTATCTGTGCATATGTAATACAGCTACAGATAATGTATGCAAAGTCTTCTGTGTACTTATTCCAACAATGGCTTTTCACTGGGGCAAGCAAATTGCACAGAGATCTTATGTTAAAATATTCAAAGTAACTTGCATTGTATAAAAAAAAGTCTTGTCACCACATTTTCATCTTCTAAAATGGAAACATCACATGAGAAGTTTGTAATATATCTCTAGTTGGACTCCCTTCTGTAGAGGTGAAACGTAAAAATATTGAATTTGTGCTGGAACACTGTCTGAACCAATGCTAATTTTTAAAAAAAAATCACATCACTTTCTTCTACACTTTTCTAAAAGTTGCATAAAGTCTAGAATTGTTTTATTTCATGTTAAGCATGACTTCAGTTTAAGTTGCCAAATGCTTTTTTTTTTAATTAACCCTGTGTTCTATGGAAGGAATTTGGTCAGCATAAAAGCCTGTGATTTATTTCCCTCTAATATCTAAAACGATGGTTTGATAATTTGGTAAAGGTATTTTTAAGCTATAAATGCAACCAGGATGACCTCTAGAATTTACTAAGCTTTTGAGTACAAATTTGATCGTGGAAAAATTTCAATGTCACAGTATCATTTACTTGTATTTCACTATTCTAAATAGATATATTATAAACCTGAAATGGGTGAGCAGCAAAACAAAACATGGATTTAATGTAACTTGTTTCTTATTGCAAAAGTGATTGAGTTGTCTATTGTATACAAGACCAATTTAGAAACTTGGGTTAAATAACTAGTTTACAAAGCCCTTAGCTGCTCTTTATAAAAAAAAAAACTTGAAAAAGTTGTTAGAACATACAGTTCTCAACTGTATTTAAAACAAAGTGTAGGCATTGTTTTCTTGAATGTGCTACTCAGACTTAGTTAATAGCAAAATGCTTTTTAAGCACCCTGTCTCGTAATTGAAATTTCCACGATCATCATATTTCAGAAGGTGCCCCAATCTTTTGTTTAATGCTAGGCAAGCAGAAGGACCTCTAACTATTCTCATGAGAGCTAAAGAATTTAAGGTTTTGCTGAAGTGGAACTATATTTTGGTTAGGGTAGTATCTTTTCCTTTTAAATAAGGTTTTTTTATTTGGCTTATGGAAAACCAATTTTAAATGTGCAAAACTGTTTATTTCCCTCCCTCACCCCTGCCAAAGGCTTATAGTGAATGAACCTGATATTGCTGTAATATGTACTTCTAATGGTTAACACAAAATCAGGTTTCTTTTAAACAAAATGAAATTTTTGGAGACTATATTAGCCTTAAATTGATTGGAAATGGATAGTGATTATAATAATTACTTTTTGCCTCTGTTGCATGACATAAATTAAAAAGAAAATCAGTATTCACTGAAGTGGATGAAAATTGAGACAGGAAAAAACTTGGGCTGTTTTTTTTCAGTTCTGACTGAACTTTTCAAGCCAACAAAAAGCCAAAAAGTATTTTTTGTTATTATTGACTTAAATAAAAATTGCAAGCTTGCTGCTGTTGGATTGAAAAGTTCAGAGTATATTAGAAGTGTACTTATTCAACATGAATTTTTTTGCCTTACTTTTATGAAGCTTACAACTTTAATAGGTACATTTTAAAACAGAAAAAGTAGCACTCTGAAGGACTGAGAATTGTACTCTCTGGGCTTAATCTAATATGGCTTCTAGGTTTTCTTTTGCAAAATTGCTTCTAAGGTAACTTGTCCACATCTGAAGTGAAAGAAGAGAGAACAAATGCTGCCATTGTCTCCAAGTAAAACCAATTTTTTCCCTTATTAAATTTAAGTGGAATAGTCTATGGAAGGGCTTTAACAAATGCCTGACACAGAAGCTGAGGAATAACAAAAGGCAAAATATATAAAAAGTACTGTTTACCTACAGAAAAGATTCAATGTTTTGTTTCTTTCCTACTTAGAACAGCTATTGCTCTTCTTAGTTATTTGGTTTGGTAGTTAGTGATGGATTAAAGTGCTCTCCAATATATAAAAATTAACCTGTTGACCATGTTCAAGTAGTTATGTGGTCAGAGTTATTAGCTCTTAATGGGAAGGCATATTGTGTGGTACATATCTTCTTCACTAAAAGCTTTTCACAATAACAGTCTACTGTGATTATTTCAACAATTTAGAAAAATAAGTGTACATGCTTGCTGTATTAATGGTTGCCAGGCACTAGTGAAAATGATAGCTGCATTCTTCGGCAGTGAGGAAGTTAAGTAAAAAAGTAAGAAATATTAGCTGTTAACATAAGTGTGTCCTGCGAGGAGGAGAGAAAGATGGCCCTCTACCAGATAATGGCATTAAAATTATTTTAACAAACACTTATTTGGAAAGACATCACTGCCTTAAATCATCAGTTAAAACTAAAACAATTCATTGTAAAGATATAAAAAATAAATGAACCAGAGATGTATCTTTATTTGTTCTTGCTGTAAAAAACACACATTGTCTTTCTGAAGATTAAGGCTTGCTGTGAGTTTACTACAGAGTTTTTGCCCACTGGGGGGTGATACACACTACAAAAAGTCTGCTTTCAAGAGCCACAAGTCAGATGTTTTTTGCTGCTGTCCAGTTTTCTCTGCTTTAATTGCAACAAAGCCTCCTGTTGAGAGAAACAGTGGAGGCCTCCAAGGGTAAAAAAATCACTCTTTGAAAGATTTTACTGAACTTTACTTCCCATGTTGATTTTATTAAGGTGGTGTTTTATCTGGTCATTCTCAGTGAGAATGCGATTAGAACTAGTCTGAAGTTAAGAAAATTTGAGCCATCAATTTAACATTTTATAAATGGGGTTTGTGACAAGGCGTTATAACAGTGTCTGGAAGAGGACATGAAATAGAGGCTGTTTAGGAGTAGAATAATTTTGATTATCTCAGATTATCAATAATGGAATTAATGTAACTGCAGAACCACTTATTTGTATTTTCAGTGAATGGGCTTTTTATAAACCAGGACAGTATGATGTCCAGTAAATTCTGTTTCTGAAATAGTTTAAAACACAGGTGAGGGCTTTTAAACTGAAGTGTGATAAAAGACTTTTGGAAGAAATTAAATTAACCTTAAGTTTTTCTGCTTGAGGGAGAAAAAATTGACCTAACAAGTCAAGTCAGTCGGGATATGGGACATATATTGGCAAGAAAAATACATATGGACATTTGTTTTTAGAGGATTTTTTTTCTCTAGTTAAATTGATATTTGCATTTTTCATCCTGCCACAAAGAAAGGTTCATTAAGACTCCATATCCTGAGGCAGTAGGTGGTGGTAACTGGAATTTCTATCTGTCTGGGCAGTATAGCCTAGAAAAGAAAATGGGGCTAAAGATAATTAATAAGCTTATTAAAGTGAGACAGCTGCAAAATTTTAGCCTTTTTTTTTAGACATGGTCTCATTTAACCCCTGAGAATTTATGGTAGAGAAGGGATATCCACATTTTTAAAAAATGTTCAAGGGCTATATCTTGAAATCAGTATGACTTAATTTCTTTGAAAGAGCAACTTGAATTGTGGAATGATTCTGCATTTCACTAGTATTGTTACACAGAAACTGTTTAATTGTAAATTGTGAACTGACCAGAATTAATTCCTTAAAAAAGGCAGAGAAGTGACTTCTATGTTCCAACCAAAGTAATAATCTATGGCAAACAATACCCTTCATTAATTAGTTAATTATATGCATTCATTGTCACTGTAATATATTTGTAACACTCTAGCAACTGTACCTTAATGTGTCAGAGATGTGCTCAAACTATTTGCAAAGAGTAAAAGTCTAATTTCAGTAAAGTATCTAAACTACAAATAGCATTCTTTTTCCATAGCATATTGCTAATGCTTTATTGACTTAAGTCTTAGAATAATGCTAGCTGAATCAGAAACAGTTTATATGGATGATAAAATATCCCCGGGATGTTAAAACAGCTTGCTTATATTATGCAGTCTTGGGGGAAAATGGCAAGTAAAATTAATAACTTTCTGAGTTACAAGGAAAAACAGAGCAAAGTTTATTAAAACTAGACACATTGGATTCATAGAAAGGAGTATCAGGCAACTCTCATTCATACCCCCCCCCCCCCCCACCTTGGGGTTTTTAAGAAATTGGGGCCTGTTGCATTCTTCCTTTACAGGCGTACAACCATTTTGTTTAACATATAGTCCACTGGGGATCTTGTATGATGTATGCAATATTTTGGGATTGGGGGGGTAAATGGAACCCCCTCTCAACTTTTTCACGTTGTGAACGCATATAGTCATTGAGGAAAGCAGATTTCAGTTGAATGGATAATTTACATACAGTGTACACCCAAAGGATTTTTTTTTTTTTACATAACAATATATAACAATCTGGTCCCATTGCACTTCCCTAAAGCTTAGCTTTGTTAGTTTGTCTCATAAGATTTATTGAATTACTATGCAGGTCACATATCACATTTGTCCAAGCTACGAATTTTGGCATTATATTGGGAAAGGAATATATTTTCAAACTGTATCCTCTCTATTGAATTAAACAGTTAAAAACTCACCAATTCCTTGTTTCAGAATTACACATTTGTGGGATAGTAATGCATGTTTCAAAATCTAGGTGTAGCTGTTTGTTTATCCTTCACAAAAGATTGTAAGTATACAGAAGCAGATCTAGCTGAGAGCAAGATATTTGTTCTTCATGTACTGAATACTCACGTAGTGAAGGATCATTGATTTCCTTTCACAGTTGTAAAAACGACTGTTAAGGGGATCATACCACACATGCAGTACTGGTCAAGCTTGGAAAATATGCTTTTTTTATTTTAGTGGGGCATCATGTAGTTTTTTTAGTTTGTGGTTAAAGCAAAACATTAGTCTCCAGCATAGTAATATTTGCAAAAAAATAATGCTAGTATGCAGATGGAAAATGGATTGCTAAATATGAACTATGTTTAAAATTAACTTCTATTTGTACAGCACCGTGGAAGGACATTGTAGCTTGGCATTTATCACCTCCATCCTGATCTCTGATAGTAAAAATGTGCCATGTTGCACTTGAAATATCAGCGGGGAAGAAAAATATAAACTTTGGAGGAAATCAGGAGAAATCAATGGAAACACTTACCTGAAAGACGAGAAAAAGAATTGCTATTTACAGGAACAGCCGTTATTCCACTCCGAATGGTTATGCGAAGTAATAAAAGCCATTATTTCATGTCCAGTATCAACAAAAAGCAGGAGCAGCTAATCGGAGCTATGAGATGAGCTTACACTGTGTCCGATCGCTTCTGCTACGCTGGGAAGGAATGAGAGAGAAAGCATTCCAGTTACGTGCACGGAGCCCACCTCAAAGTCTGAAGTTAAAGCTTCACCTAAGAGTGGTTGAATAAAGAGGTGATGTCATAAATGGGCAGGTCTTATCTTGACTCTTGTTTCGTGAGTAAGTGGGTGTGCAAACCGACAGGGAATGTGCATTACCAACACTAGAGGGAGTAGAAGGCAACTGCAGCGCAGTCTGCCAAACTTGAAAATCTTAGGCAGTACTACTAGTATTTACCAGATTGGTTACAAACCTAAGACTTTTAAGATTTATTAAAAGTTAAGTGCCCTTTACAATTATTATATTTATTAAAGTTAAGTGCCCTTTAAAATTATTATATCTGCAGAATCTGATTTATAACACTACAGAAAGGGTGGGTGCATTTTTTATTTGGGTAGATATGCCTTTTCAGAAGAAAATGGGAAATGACTGTTCTTACTCAATGAAAATAAATGTTGTATTTGTAAATGAGATGTAATTACCTAATGAAGGATAACCACATCTTTGAATCTAAATGAATAAAAATAAAATAAAATATGAACAGCATTGTTTAGATAAATATTTAAATATAAACTTCTGAGAAACTGTTCCATATTCGAGAGGTATAGATTTCAAATAAGATGTTGATTAATAGATTTTATTTCCCTGTTCTCTGTCTCATATTTTTACTGTAAAACAATTAGCGATCTCTTGCTTGAGATCTGCTGTTTTTTAATTTGTGGCTAATGTAGATTTGGATTTCTAAAGACTCAGGGAGAGCTTTGAAGTAGTTAACTGTTCAAAAATGGTTTTTGTAGGTATAACAAATGCTGCACTTCATGAAATAAGGCGAGGCTCTCAGGAGAGAAGTCATTCCTATGTAGAAACAAATTGGTTTTTTGATTGTGCTGATTTCATTCAAAAACTGTAGGCATGAAGTAATTCATTGATGAACAATAAACAACTGCAGGGACCCTTGGGAGGTCATGTTGACATAGGGAATCATGAGAGATTATTCATCTCTAGTTTTGAATAATGTTTCCTTAAAGGCATTAGTGTTTCAAAGTCCATTTAAAATCAGTAATGATGTAATTTTTGTTCTTATTATCCTCTAACACACCTATTTGAGATGCTTATTTTAGTTATTAGGAAATTCAGATGAGGACATTGTGAATACTCATATCTTTTTAATTCAGTGATAAGTAACATTTAGAAAATCTGCTTAATTAACATCTTCCTACAACATAGTTTCATTTTACTAGTAGCTTATTAACTTGCACAAGTGCTATTTGATTTAGCATAGTTGACATTTCCCTTTGTCTTTTTAAATTTCCCTCACAATGTTTGTTTCTTTGAGGCCAGTCAATTGTTGTCTCCCACAAGTATTGGATTATATTCTCTTCATTAGCGTCATTTAGTTTATCTTGTCTGCATGCTTGTTTGATATAGCAGTTTGACCCTGGTATTCACCAGCAGTACTGTGTGATATCAGAGTAGAAGACAAGCTCATGATAAGGGCTATGTTTGAGCTCAGTTGTTCAATGATTGCACTTTTTGTAGCATCAGAGGACAGCCCTACCAAGCTCCATTAAGTTCGTAATGGAACTCAAGGTTTATGGAAGCCACTAGGAACACAAGAAGTTATCAACTTAATATTTATATGGCTTAAATAAGGCCTAAGTGTAGAAGTGAACTTGCCTGTAATGTATTATTTTCCTGGAAAAAGATCCAGCAGTTTACTTCATACTACTTGAACATTCACCTTTTGGTATAATTAATTTCTTTAAAATATATTTCTTCATTAAAAATACTTGCTATGTTGATTTTTATGTAGCAAAATACTTGCTATGTTGATTTTTAGTTGAAACATGGTACATATTCCATTTTTTCTTTAAATATGGGAAGAAACAAGTCCTTGTAGGAATGTTGTCAAGCTTTAAGCAAATGAGAATATTCTCCTACGTTTCCTGAATTCCAGTCCTCATTTGAATATAGTAAAAATGTGCATTATTAAATACACAATGGCTTATAACTTTACGAATCAAAGCTTTGAAGAAAAAAGGGTTGAGATGATTACCCATTTAAAATATTTTTCGACATTCAGCTAAACAATTGACCATTTTTTTTTCTCTAGGCTGACTTATTTGTTCACAGTCAGCACATTCCCCAGCAAGATAACAGCTTAAAAACTGTGTAATGTTAATTTTATCCATTAATAAAATCTTCCCAGTGTGCTAAATGAATTGAGCTTTGGCCTTAGCAGAGCTACTTATGCCCTCCTATGCTCAGCAGTTTATACGAAGGACCATTTAACTGTGTGTGTGTGTGTGTGTGTGTGTGTGTGTGTGTGTGTGTGTGTATGTGTACGTGAATAGAGAGAGGCTATTGTAGTATAGTTGTCATGCAAAACAAGAGTATTGAACATGGTAATGCAAGCTAGAGTCTGAGTTCTGAATATTCTAGACGTGTTTCTTAACACTGAGATTCCATTAAGATTAGAAAAGCATCTTTAAAACATTTTGTATTCCTAGAATCTCTGAAATCTATCCCAGTTTTATCAACAAGTTGTGATGCATGTTACAGCACATCAATATTATATCTTAACATGTACCTATGGGATGTTCATAAAAGATATAAAATGTACATTCAGCTATCTTTTAGCCTGTGAAGTCTGGCCAAATACTGAATGTAGTAGGAGAAATTGGAGTAAATCATGCTGAACAATTCCAAAGGGAATTTTAGAAATAATTAGATTTTAGCATCTCACAGCTGCCTTAGAATACTAAAACTTTTTTTAAAAAATGCTATAAAACTTAATTTTATTACTATCTTTTTGTTGAGACTCCTTAAATTTCTTGTTTTGAGAATCTGAATAGCACTTCAAATACTTTACACAAAAACTTGACTGTTAATCTAAAATGCAAAAATTCAAGACTGTTCTGGAATTCAGTTCATGGTAGTCAAGCTGCTCACCTGAGAAACAAGTATATGCATTGCAGATGCCTGAAAATTTAGAAATAGGATGAGTTACAGTTAGTTTCTGTGTAAGAGCTAAGTCTATACTGGCACTTCACAGCTCTGTAATTTTCTGGCTCAGAAACACCCCTCTCGCGCACCTCCCCTCCAAAGGTCAGCAAGTTACAGCACTGTAAAGCACCAGTGTGAACCAGGCCCAGCACTCAAGCTTTCACTTGAAAGTGTTATTGCAATTGTGCTTTGAACTGTTACGTGTGGACAAAGGCTAAGTTAAGAACAGCCCAAGATGGTAGGGAAAATAGTCTCCTAGCCTATACTTAGTGTGTGGAAATCATTGCAACAGGGAGATTAGAAATTAAACCTTTTGGCAAATCTGTAGGAAAATTATTTTTTGGAAGATATGTGGTGGCATTGTTAAGACTTAAGTCTTAGGTTTTTGAGGCTAAGAAGTCATACATTCAGAATAATTTGTAGTATATACTGTTCAAAACACATGTTGTACATGTTCATAATATATGCATGTATTAAATACATGATTCTGCAGACTCCCATCCATCTCAATCTTTTTGAATTAGCAACAAGCAGAAAGTCTCAGAAAGGTAGCCATGTTAGTCTGTCACTTTAAAAATGAGTGGCCCTGTAGGTAGGGTTGCCATATGATTGAAACAAAAATACCGAACACCCTGCCCTCCCTCACTGCAGCTGACTCATTCAGGGGTCTGTGCAGCGTTGACAGAGTTCAGGCTGGGAGGTGGTACTGGTATCATGTTCTGCTCCTTTTGCTCTGTGGATCCCATGAAAGCTCTGCGGTTGAGCCCCAGGGCTTTCGCAGGAACCCCGAGCTCTGAGTTGGGTCGGGACCCAGGGGCTTGCCCCACTGCACTGCATCCACCCAGTGCTCCTGCTGGGGAGTAAGGAAAGCCATGGTGCCCTGACCTCACTCTGCAGCAGAAGCGCTGGGCTCCAGGGAAGCTCCTGTACCCGAACCAAGTTCTCTGGCAGGATTGCCAGGTGAACCCCAGGAGGACATGAGATAGAAAATGTTGGGATGTGCCCCCCCCCCCCCCCTGCTCTGGCCCAGGGCCTCACAAACCTCTAATCCACCTCTAACTCCTCTTTCAGAAACTCAGTGAACTGATGTGAAATGGGGTATTAGTGGAGTCAAGCTTGTTGAGAGAGGTCCTTAATGAGCAGATCAGCTTTAAAGGCACTTTGGAACAATTTCCAGAGTAGCTTGTCCCAATTTAAAACAGGGAATATGTTAATTTGTAGTGACACTGAAGGAAAGAAAAGTAGCAGTTGAAGATGTAACTCGTTATCAGACTAACATGACAATGGTAATGAATAGTATACAATCGTATAAAATGTTTTGCAGTTTATAAGCCTATAAATATGTGAAGTGAATCTTACTCCAAATTATGTGAATTGTTTTAAAATATAGTTCAGAAAAAATGGGTCCTTCAAAAAGGAAGCATATGGCTAAATTTTGCAATCCGTTTCAGCATTGTATAAACAGAGTAACCGCACTGAAGTCAGTGTAGCAGTTCTAGATTTCAAAATGTGGCCAATCATGTACAAGTGAATCTATAGAGGAGATGATAAAATATGAGTGAATAAGACTCTTAACCATATGTGCATTTTCCTGACAGAGTAACTGATTGGATATAATCATCTGGAGTTTAAATACTCCTTTATGTTTGTTTAAAAGCCCGAAGAATAACCACCGCAGCTGTCTTCTTATTTTCCCCCTCCCTCTCTCTCTTCTGTCTTCTAGTTTCCTTAATAGCTCTGGGGAAAGGCCTCATCAATTCAGATGTGCCTCTGATGTAATCCTGTCCCTCTCATCTTCTTCCTGAAGGCCAGTCAGAAAATAAACAGTGGCTGCCTATCCAATAATAGCCTATTGACAAAGAAACAAGCTCATTGACTGGCTAAATAAAAGCAAAAAACCATACAACTAAAATATAAATGGTAGGATTTTTTTTACATCAAACACACCAGAGCTGATTCATAGCCCTTTTCATTGAGAACATAATGAATAAAACATGATAAAACAATTGAAAGGTTTTCTTCAAAATAGTATTTGTTACAAAATAAATTCATAGGCTCATCATTGC